CGGCCCCTCCCCCGCTCTGCCTCCCTCCAAGGTCCATCCTGCTGCCTCCTTGTCACCAAAGGGGCAGGTTTTGCATGGCCAGTCTTGAAGACAATTTCTTTCTCCATTCTAGGAAAGTCACACTGGGCACAGTGTGAGCTGAAATTTGACTATAATTTTTATGGAATAAAATATATGCATTTTTTTTTTCTAAAGAGATTGCAAAATATTAGAGGGCAGTCGTTTTTAGATCAGTTTGAAAAGTTTTTTCAGTGCCCAAGACGACAAATCCAAATGTCATTGGTGCAGAATTAGTTCTCTTTTCTTAGTCATGGCGAATACGCAATTTCTGTGTTCTCTCTCACTGGTAGGATAGGCGGGGCCATAAAGAAAGAAGGCCTCTGTTTGGGACCTACAAAGGGGGTCACTTTCCCCTAATCCGAGGTCTCTCGAGGCGGGTCCAGGACCAGTCTTCTCTACAAAAATTGTCCAATTCCAGTTTGCAACCGCAGCCCGGCTGCCTGTGGCGTGGTCCTGTGAGGCATTAAAGCAGACGGCCCCTGCCCCTGGAGGCTTCATTTATTGGATGAGGATCAAAGTGCATCTAATTTCCCCATAGACTTTACCTTATATTCGGGCATGATGGCCAACTCTTTATAGAAAAGACCAAGAATTTTAAATTATTTATCTGTATATAAGTTTTCTAAAATGTATATAACTCAAACAGAGCATCTCGTAACTGAAGACACACTATATTTATGACAGAGCATTCGCCCACCGTGCAACTATCTCCTGTCTTTTTTTTTTTTTTTTAACTGCAGTAAGTAGGTCAAGGTTAAATCTAAAGTGAAGGGGGCCCTTCCTGCTCTAACATTCTTGCTTCACTGAGATCGTGGGATTCAGGAAAGTTCCTTTGGGTAGATGTGTGCAGACATCTTTGAAGATGCTTTAAGCACTCAGCTAGAGATGTCTTTTTATCTTAAATTCTTTTCATGCTACGAACTTTGTGTGGCGTTAGGAAGGGCTCCTTCTGTCTTGAAGACCACCATCCGATCAGTGTTTCCAGCTCCACCTGATGGCCAGTTATAAAAAGATCACTTGCCCTTAAAGTGAATGAACTGGCATTTATTTACCCCAAATAGGCAGACTCCTGATTTCTTATCAGAGGTTACCTTAGCATCGGAAAACCTCGGATACCAAGGCTCACTCGATAGCAAATACACAGGACAGGGTCTGGTTCCCGAATCCTTACAGATCAGCCCCCAGCTCTGGTCATGGTCCTACAACACGGGCCACCCCTCCTGGGGTCAGTTGCCAAATGCCAGGTGTCCCCAGGAGCGTAGAGACAGATGTCCTAAATCATTATTCACAGTTACTGCATTTCAGTGGTCTCCACCTCGTGGCCCATTTGAACCACCTAGAAGCATCTAAAACCTGGATGCTCAGGCCACACCTCACTTAAGAAAGAAGAAAATTGTGCCATACCTTTAGGCACCTTTACATCAAAATGACCTTTCAAAGTCTAAAAGCATTTTCGAGCCTTTCCTATGGGGTGGAAAAGTCACTTCCACAGAGTAACCTTTGCTCACCAAAGTCAGATGGGAGAAATCCCACTATTTGTTGAATAATGTGCTCCAGACGAAGCTGTCCCAAGTTTCAGTTCCATTTTCCTCTGGTTTCTGTGAAATTCATGAAGAGCAGAATGTTCTTTCTCAATAAATCTCTTCAGTCAGTAATAAGTCCTGTCTCAAAAAAATTCTTTGTTGACTATTTTTTAGGTACTTCACAAAAGTGGTCATCTTGACATTTGTCTACCCCTCTCCAGGAAGCTGGAGAGAAAAAGGGACATTCCATCCCTGTACACTTAACAGGAACCATGGCGATAAGGCCAAAGCGCGAACTCTAGAAAGCTTTCTATTTATACTGGAAACATAAGGACCCTTGATTTAGCTCCGAGAAATCATGTGGGGAAATATTTGACTTTTAAGCCATTGTCATCATAAATAAAACCCTCAACGAGTATATCTATAGGTTTGTTTGTTTTTTGTTTTTTTTGGCTTTGTTTTTGTCATTTACTGGCTGCTGTTTTAAAACTTCTCTCAACACAAGATTTCCCCTCCTTAAGCAAACACACAGGTTAATTTGGGGAAGATATGGAAATAAAGAAGAGGAGGAGACACGTCCAGTCTTTTTTCTATCACCTTTTCCATTTTTACCTCCTCATGTGACCAGTGACTCTGCACCAATGCAGGGTATGAAGATCAATCACCACTTGAGGAGATAAGAAAAAAATGGGAAAGAAAATATTCCTGATTTTCCGGATTTAAAACAGAATACGCGCTCTTCTGAACTCCTGCAGACTCTCTCCAGCCCTTTTGAGAGGTGTCCTGGGCGGTCTGCCCATCTCAAGATCTCTCTCTGGGTGAGGCCGTAAGAGAGCACAACAGGTCAGAGTGTGAGCTTAGAACTGTGCCCGGGGTGGGGGCAGAGTGTGCGTCAACCGCTGTATTAGATTTTTGCATGAGTTACTTTACCTGGAAAAATAGATTCATGGCATTTCTACTTTAGAGAGAGAAAAGCTGGGGCAGAGAATGAACTCACTGACTCATCGTTTTCTATTAAACATCAGTCAGGGGAAGAAAAAAACCAGATTTAACTATCTCTCTGCAAGGCAAAAAGTGCATCTACAAATATGAAATCCTGAACCAGAATTTCGTGACCAGGTTCTTACATGCGAATCACTTTTCTTTTGGACTATTGCCCACCCGCCTAGTCAGTCAGCCTTTGTCGAGATCACCAAGGGGTATATTACGAACCAGTCCGTGGGGAGGCGCTAGGGACAGTGCTGAACAGGACAGACATGGGCCCCGGCCTTTACGTCACTTCCATTCTGGAAGGGAAGAGAGACGGTGATAGATAATGAGATGATTACAGAATGGGATGGTGTCTAAGAAGGAAATAAACATGCCAAGGGATGGTGTAAGAGGGTTGGTCTTTCAACCAGTGGTCGAGGAAGCGCTTTGCGAACTGAGTTTTGAAGGAGAAGAATGAACTAGTTATCGGAATCGCTGGACGGTCCATCCAGGCAGAAGCAACAGCAAGTGCAAAGGCCCTGAGCAGAAAGGCGGCCCGTGGTTGGAATGGAGAGGGCAGATTGGAGGTGAGGCCGGAGGAGTGGGCAGGGGCCAGGTCACATGGGCCTTGGAGGCCGTGGCGAAGAGCTTGGATTTTTTTAAAGAGCAACGGAACCCCACTGCGAGTGCAGTGTGGGGCCCTGCGTAAGCTCACTTAGATGTGGCAGATCACCGGGAGCTGTGGAGAAGGAAAGGGAGAGGCTGGTAGATGGGGAAGCTGAAGAATCAGGAGCTCCTTTAGAAAGCCCAGGGGTGAGAGGATGGTGGCGTGGACTTGCAGATGGGTAGTTCCCACGTTTCCTAACCTGAGTCTCTGCATCCTTAACAAGAGCTTAAAGTGAGGACATAAAATGGGACATATTTTAGTGGATGATACTTCAGCTTTGCACAGCTAGAATAATAAACAGGCAACAGACACACATCACTGAACACGGTGAATGGAGCAAGATGAACACTTGGACCTTTGGCTAAAACATAAAAACAAAGAAATTCACGCTCAGAATAATCTGTAAAAGGAAGTGTTAAGAACAAGTAGGCCACCTAACCAGTTCACCTGGGACCCGGGCATTCATTAGAATAATTATACACGTCACAACTCCTTGATCATTGCCCACCCGTCCCCACTGAACTCACATTCTTGCAACCTCCGCAGCACATCCAGCACAGAGAGTGACAGCTGGACATCAAGGAAGCACTCCCACCTGTGGATCTACCTGCGTTTCTCAGCAGGTGTGTGCATGCATGTGTGCACGCATCATAGGGAATTTCCATATGGATGAGAATCCAAGAATTTATGGTTAAACTTAGGGAGGTTCAAATAGGGCCCAGGTTTTGCAACTGATGCCGGAGTGTTCCTCCGCATGCCAGCCAGACCCAAATGAATTCCGCAGAAGACGAGTTCTATGAGATGCTCATAAAGTTTGGGTGCTGCTGCATTGTGTATACGCCTCACCCCCCCGTCCCAGGAGTCACTTCAAACCTCTGACAAGTCCTAAAGGTTAGACAACTCTTTAACTTTGTTTAATGTTTTCCAGTCGTTCTCACCAAAGATGCATTTTCAAAAAAAAACAACTAGGAACATACAGGAAATTCACATTTCCCCAAAACACGGGTAGAAAAATACGTGGCCTAAGACCGGGGAGCTCGGGGGCCCAGGGCTCATGGCAGAGCCAGGGCCAACCTGCAGGATGTGGCCACTGTTCTCAGCAGTGAGAACACCCAGGCCAAAGGGCAGAACAGAAAGCTCGGAACACGCACAAGCACAATGGACCTCGAGATGTGACCTCGGTGGCACTGTACATCGGGAGCGAGGGATTCAGGAAGGCTCGCGGCAACCTGCTAACCACACGGGGAAAGGAAGCCTGGGCTCTGCCGGAGGACATCTCACACTGCACTCCCCCGCCTCAGGCGCCTCGCTTTTGGCCACGTCCCTTGCTCTGACCAGCGAAACGTGGCTGTCACTTTCAAGCAGAAACGCCTCCCCTTTCTGCCAAGACAACTGGCAATGCTCCAGAGAGGCGCTGTTCCATCACTCTGGGGCCCAGGACAAGGGAGTCACGTAGCAGAGCTGCGGCCAAGGCTTCAAGGATACACGGAAGGAGTGAAAAAGAAACTCTCGTTTTTCTCAAGCCATTGGGATTTGAGGATCATTTGTTACCACTGCATAACCCGACATATCTGGATTGGTACAGACCCTTTCCTTACTCCACGGGGTGGGAAGATCTAAAAGGGAAAAAGCAAAACTAGGTGCAAAGGCACCAATTTGGAGTTGAGTGACATGGTCTGACCCGGGTGCAGAAGGTGCTGGGAAATTTTTGGTAAACTCAACACCATTGAAATTATA